GAACCACCAATAGAAATATAGAGGGGACACTAGGGCCCGTATGAGGAAATAAAGGGAGATTAAAGAGCACATTTAATAACTTAGTCAAAACTAGAGTTCTACTCGAGAGATTTTAAAAGCATCTATTATTACACCACCATAGCTTTGACCTAGTTGCGGGAAAAGACAGCTGATATCATGCATGTGCATATTATTGGCAATCTCAACTGTGTGCATTAGCAGATGGAGCTAATATCCAGTTCTATCTGATACCTAACGTGTTACATGCACATCTATCAAACTAGGCTCACATACTCTATCAAAATGTACAAGGACGGGGGCGGATTTAAGCCTAATTTGTGGAGCCCCATGGTCTCTCCGCAAAACTAGATATTTTATGTATATATTTTCTAAATTGATCTAATATTATATGCTGGCACCCATGCTCCAAAAAAGCTAAATTGTGCACTTGGTTAAATGTTGTTTTATCTGCCTAGAGGAGCACGGATCAAGTCCCAGTACCCATGTTATAGAAATCCTAAGTTCACCTCTGTTAAGGACCTTGCAAGTTGCACACTTTTCACCATAACTCCAACTTTTAATCATTCTACTCTTGTTGTCCCGGGCTTCACGAGGTTAAATGATAGTCAAAGGATCAAAGCAAAACGCATTACACACGCACACAAAAAAAAAAAGAAAAAAAAAAGCAGGAACCACAGAATATTACGGTTACTCCAGTCCGTTAGGATGAGAGAATCACCAGTGACCGATCATGACTCTGAGCTCTCAGCAGAAACAATTTCCTTCTCAAGCTTCATTTACAAGCAAAGAAGAATGTTATTAGACAATTTACACAAACTTCTACTAGCATCACAATTGAAAACAAAAAATGCAAGAAGAAATTAGGTTGATTACTCTATAAAACCTCCTCTGAAATTGAATGGTTTAGTCAAAGTAAGAGGAATAGATACGAGCAAAATTTCTTATTTATCATGATTAGCAAAAGCAGTGGTTTCCTGACGAACAAAAGCATACCCTCATAATTTAAAAGCCAAAATTAGTAACTTCAGGTTCTCTCTTTTACTGCAATCAGAGAACGGAATACCACCAGAATAGAAATTTATCAAGTATCTCATGGTGCTGCATTCATGGTAACTCCCATGCGTGCTAAAAAAGTTTTTTTACAATCCTACTAAGGTTTCTATCTCTCTTCTATATTTGTCTTTCCTCTAGCTATGTTCACATGATTAAATGCAGGAAAGACCTTTAGGTGGGAAAATCAAGAACAGAAGGAGTGGGATCTAGTAGGAAATGTACAAGAGCTAGATATATGACATCTTTCTGAGATCAACATTGCATAGCATATAACTTAGGAGTAAAAGATAAATGTAGCGAGCCAGCACACCAGTAGATTTACCCTCTAGTTCAACTTTAAAATGTAATTTTGATCAGGACAAGCTCAAGAGGTTATAATTTCAGGTTCATTATTTCTGTCAGCTGACAGCATTATAATCTTCTGGAGTATAATGAGTTAACTGCCCTACAGAGGGACTATAGTATTAGAGCAATGAAACATAAAAAACCATATAAGAAAAAATGTTAAGATGACTAACTGGTACAACAGAGACAGACAATTGTATCAGAAGAAATTTGATAGATGGCTAAATAATGACAAAATAAGTTAAGAAAATCATATTAAGCTGCTTTAGAATTATTCACGAAAGGCCCTACTTTTATACCTGTTAGAAAGACTGGTATAGAATAGGTGTATTTGTAAGTGAAAGTCAATGTAGTTGCTCAAAGCACTTCTTGAGCATTTGCCCAGACATCTATGGGGCAGCTCATGAAGAAGCTGGATTCTCCGGTATTACCAAATGACACAGTTGAAAAGTCACAAAAGACTTAGAGTAAATGTAAACATGACAATATAGTACCTGCATAATGCTTTCCAACTTGCTCTGAAGATCACGATACTCTCGATTGATGTTTCTTAATATCCGCAAACACCTACAGAGCCAAGGGGAAACGTTTTGTCAGATAACCACTAAGACATTTGGAATATGTTACACGAAAGCAATGAAATATTATTTGCAAATCAATGTTATGTTTTATTTTGTCCATTATATCAATTCCAACTTGAAATAGAGAATTTGAAGTTTCAAAAACTGGTTTGAGGACTATTTCAACTGCAATAATGGTTTACACTGACAAACTTCAACTTTTTTCCAACTGAAATTCATGTCCAGACACAATTTAATTTCCAAATACTCCTTGTTAACTTCAACTTTAAATACTGGGTTTTCCAAATTCACTGAGATATTGTCCAAACAGGACGACTTCGTGATATTTGCAAATTAGGATGACCAACAAGATGATTCTCACAGAGGGTAGTTAAGGATTTTTCTTGTTAGAGAAAGCACACTACTATCAAGTAAATCTATGCCTTTGAAATTCTAAAGAGAAAGAAAAAAAAAAAGAAAAGATATCAAACGGTAATGAAATTCTAACCATAATAAGAAAAGCTAACGCTGGAACATTCCACATCACAAAAAATACAAGCAACAAGGTTAGTACCATTCTGATTATTTCAAAACAATTAATGCACATCCTCTCGCACAACTAACATCCACACACATGTAATGGAAAACCACGCAGACAAGTATGCAAGAGAGTAGACCACTCGCATAACCACCACTTCCAGTAACCAGAACAGCCAAAACTTCATTGACTTCTAG